TCGCTTCTAGTAACAAGTGCCTTACTAGTAGTAACAAAAAGCTATTAATTTATTTCAAGTTCGTTTGGTCTCCCGGTAACGTCCGGACCTCTCGGTGCTGGGTGAAACACCCTGGGACCTCTTCAGTTCGAGGTGTTTGAGGTGTTTTTTTGGGGGCAGATAGGTCACATGAACCAGAGTTCACCTAGATCTCTTTGAGATAGGATGTTTTCTTCCAGCCTCATGCACCGGAACCAAGAGGTCTTCCTCAATTGGATCGATCTAACTTCACCTTGGAGGTCCGAATGGGCCACCTTTTGCTACCTTAGGCTACGGAGCCTTTGGCCTTCCCTTCGGCAGGAAGATCGAGGATCGTGGGGTCGAGGAAGCCAGGAGTGGCAGGAGGTCCTACGCTGGGAACTTGACTAGCGGAACTCTGATGTCAACCTTTGACAAGAGCAGATGTTGCGTATTGTTGCGTTATTTTGTCAGTTGTTGCCCTTGAACATCCTCAAAAGCAGTGAGCCGGACCCAGACACAGTGAAGATGCTTTTACGATCAACCAGATTTCCACAAGAGTTTGCAAGCAAATCCTGAAATCATCCTACAGTACAAACACTAAGACCTTAGCCATCTCTGGCAGTCATCTCGTCTTCTGTTGGGTTTTGTTTGCTCCTGCCGTACAGGACGCCATCTCATCGACCGATCCACAGCACAGGACGCTGAGAAGAAGAAGAAGAGCTTGACCGCGGAGATCAACAACGGAAGGCTGGCCATGATGGCCATCATTGGTGTCTTTGACCAAGAGTTATGCAGAGTTCATCGCGGCAAAGTTGAGAGTTCGCGGCCAGAGTTTCTAGAGTCACTGATCCATGTTGAACCCCGCATTTGGATAGTAAAACCGCTTCAGATGTTGAATTCATCAGCAGTCTACATTATGGTGTCAGGTTGATTCAAGAGTCTGTTTGGTTGCGATCCCAGGTGCCCAAGCTTGTGATTCACAAGTGTTTAAGACAGAGCCAACACAGTTGGGGACACACACCCAAGACGCCTAATCCAGACCCAAGGAATTGGTCGGCGACGAAATGGACCTTTCAATTGCTCATTGGTCCAAGAAAGAGCCAATTACTCATCGGTTGGTTCAATCGACCTTTTCTCTAGTAGCGAACCTTGTAACCAGTAGCTACTTGCTCCTAGTAGTACGGCCAGGAGCCCCTAGTAGCGTCCTTGCTCCTAGTAGCGATGCCAGGAGCCCCTAGTAGCTTCTAGCTACTAGTCTACATGCCAGAAATTGGATCCTCCCGCGTACGACTTCGGGTTGTCTTGTACTGCCCGAAGGCCATCACAGGGGTTTCTAGGTTGAGGGTCAATGGCCCAAAAATGCCCAAACCAAAAACAATGAACAAATGAGTCGTTCTGCAAATCATCGCTGTTTCCTTTGTACAGTACTGTTCTCCTTGCAGCAAAACCCTGCAAGCGATACCTAAGTGATACCTATTTTTCATGTGCGAAACGCTGCAGATCGATACAGAATGTCCTTAAATTAATACACCCAACACACATCACGTGGAAAAACAACTCGCATGAGAAACCACATCCAAGCTAATTTAGTGACAATGCCAAGCTGTCATAGAGCTGTCGATGTGTTTGAGATTGTCTCCCTCATATCCAAACCAGAGACTCTCCCATCCACTGGCCCATTAAGGCATGTTCTACCAGGATGGTCTCACTGGCTCCGCCTGGGGCGACTGGGCCAACTACGCCGACTCCCCATTGAGGGCCTTTGAGGAGCGGGCGGCAGGTCATGTACATCACAGATTTGCATGCCAAAGTTGCACCAGATTGCTCAGAAACCAGATTTGATACTTCTTTCACCTAGAAACTTGTGCAGAGACATTCATGCTGTTGAAAGATCCTGAACAGGCCCATCGATGCAGAAGAAATAGATTGACGAGTAGAAGGGTATTCCTCCAGATTTAGGTAGTTTTCCCGCGTTCCCTCAGGAGTAGAAATTATAGAAATTATTCAACAATCTCCAGGGAACCTGGATTTTTCCAGCTTTGTTCGAGTGGATTTGCCCACCACAGACCTGCTGTGCAGCATGGCAGGATGAGCTGGGAGTCCAGCCCCCTGTGGGCTTCTGGGTTTCTTGGCGTGGAACGGAATGGCAGGATCGTTCAAGAGGAATGCGACCAAAGTAGATGATCCCAAAACGGGTATGACGAGGTATGACGAGGTATGATGGTACAAGGTTCCTTTGTTGGTGGATTCGGGCCATGGATTCCTGGAGGATTCTTTACTTTCCAACGAGGACCGAGGATAACTAGGCACAAACTATGTAGGATTGTGGAACAGCCTGATACGTTTTACCTTGCCCAGAACACCCAGGATGTTGGACGCCTTTTCAGCAGCCCAGCAATTCCCAACGATTGGCTCGGTGGAGACATGTTGCATGTTTATGCTTGTTCTCATCCGGTTGTGGCTGTCAACGCATCGAGGATGCCGTTGATCAGAAACCCCTTTGATGCGCATCAAGGGTACCCGTCCTTAGGTGTTTGACCAGCCGAACACCGAACACCGAGCGATTGGACCACCGGGGCCGGGCCGTCTCTCAGGATCCTGTGGGCTACACTCGGGATGGACGCTGGGCTAGACTTGAGATGGTGTGCACTGTGGCACTGTGGGTGTTGTGAGATACGACTTGACAACTCACCCAATGAGTGGGGTCCCTCACATCCCTGGGAGACAGGAGGCTGTCGATGTTTAAATATTTCTACATGGGGCCAGACAATCAACAAGGAAAACATATCACCCCAAGATTGTCAACATGCACCTCAACATCGCAGCCTCTGGAACAAGCCTGCAGAAACTTGCTGTCCCATGGCTCCTGACTTCGTTGGTTCTATGGTGTTCTATGTATACTCAAGAACGGGACATGTTGGGCTGCCAAAAGACTGGGACCCCGATACGCCTCTCTACTGTGTGGTTCTTGCACGAGATTGTCACACATGTGTTCCTTTTACCCAAGTAATTCGGTCGGAGCCGGCCAAGACGTCAGCTCAAGTTCGACTGTATATAGAGATATATAGAGTGCAGCTGTTCGTTTGTTTATACTTTTGTACATGTGTTTGTATATATATATATATTATATATTGTATTTAAATATATATATATATTGTATTTAAATATATATATATATATACATTTGGTCAGGCAACATGGAGACCTTCAAGCGCCGCCGCGAGACGGAGATCAAGCACGGCCGCGTCGCGATGTACGCCACGATGGGCTCCTCAGTCGAGAGAGTCGAGATCAGTCCCGGCGCATTACTTGGCATTTCTTGCGTAAGAAATTGGTGGCGCATTACTGCATAGTACTACATAGTAGAATGCATGGTACACAGACAGCACCATGAGGCTACGCCCATAGTATTCTTTGAAAGAGGATGGTATTTCAGGAGCTATGAGGACGGCAGATAGAGCTCTTCTCAGTTGAACAAGCTAGTGCAGAATAGAGGAAGAACATATTTTCCCAAGGATGAAGTGCTGAAGTGCTCATGTAGAATGGCAATCTCTACGGCCATGTAATATTATCAAGAGCCTTAGCAAGTCACAGTGACAAAGTTTGCCTTACTTAAGACTCAAGACAGACAAAAGTTTATGGTTGTCAATAAACTGTCCGTGCGGACAAAACACTGTCCGGTCAGCTGCAGATCGAAAGGTGTGGGATGGTCAATCATCCCACCTCTATACAATAGATATAAACTAAGTACAATCAGATGGTTGTAGGTCAATCATTAACTGCCCTTTTATAGTGATAAGATGCTTTCTTGGGTGTGAAAACCAAAGAGTTTGCGCCTGCGCACACCCTCCCTGGTCTCCGCAATCAGTCTCACTTCAAGAAGCAACTTTTTTTCCGAAACAAATAACAAAGATTGCTTGTCCCACATAAAATAACAGATCCCTTCTTGGTGTTATCAGGAAGCTGGACCAGACCTGGAGCTGTGTCAGTTGACTGAGGTTATATCACGCCTGAGTACTTCAAGTGGCCTGGATACCTCTCTCCATCCATGGGCATTAAGTTCGAAGACGTCCCCAACGGCTTGGCGGCCATTGGCAAGGTGTCTCCACCCGCTGTCGAAACGACCGCTCGAACGAGGTGCCGCTCGAAACGGATCTGCATGGATTTGGAGGGCACCCACAGGGTCATATGAGGCATCCAAAGCATTGGGAGAAGCATCCAAAGCACACAGGCCATTGGAGTGGTGTACATGGGCCATTGGAGTCCCATGGGCGTTTGCTGTGTTCTTCCATGTTCTTTCTGTTCACTTTCGATGAACTGTTTGCCCCAAGCTTGTATCACTAATTCACTGGTCACCGTTCATTTGATGGGTGATGATTTGATTTGAAGGTGAAGTAAGGTGAAGGTTGAAGGTTATCACTTATCATTTGACGACTTTCGGCAATTCTCAAACAATGTATTTGTCTTGCACTTAAATACAATTTACATGCGGTTGGTTGGTTGTTCTTCAGTTTCAATTCAACCTTGTTCCTGTGATTGGCGACAGTGTTGTTGTGCTTCCGTTCGTTGTGATATACAATATGTTTCCCGTCGCAAGAAAGAAGATCCAGTAGATATTCAGATATCAGGCAGAAAACTGGTGTTTCCTCTCATCGATCCGTGGCGCAGGTTCCTGGCAACGGCTGGGCGCAGATCGTCGCGTTTGCCGGCTACTATGAGCTCTTCGTCTACAAGTACTCTGGAACTCCAGGCCCGGACCGCATCACTGTACCGGACCCTGCTGAGGACGGAAGAAGGCCCCAAACATGGTCAAGTGATTACAGCAAGTGGTTATTGATACATGGTCATGTGGTTATTATCCAAAGCTTTGCTGTTGATGCTTGTGCAGTTTATACTTGAGGATTCTTGAGGATGTCTTTAAAGACCATGCAGCAGTCTCAGATTAAAATCACCTGTTGCCAATTGTATAAGCTTTTCCAAGCTGACCACCAGACTTGTATGTTTGTTCTTTTTTGGCCAGCAGCTTAGCATACAGAAGATGAAGATCCTCTTCTAGATTTGAGGTTTACTTTGCGCAAAGCGAAGAATTAAGATCACTAATCAATGTCTCCATCTCTGTGACCAGCCAGGTGACTATGGCTGGAAGGCCATCAGCTCTGCGGACGCCGAGACCAAGAAGCGCAAGCTCAGCGCGGAACTCGCCAACGGACGGCTGGCCATGATGCTTGGCATGTTGATGATGTAAGCTATAAATCCAGGCAGTTGTAGTCATTTATATTGTTGTTGACATGTTGGGCATGGCCAGCGATTCAGATCCACTCGGTCCACGTCTTGGTATTGTTTTTCGTGGAACATTGTTTTAGATCCTGCTCGGCATGTGACTTGGGGGTTCAGCTTGACTGTGAATAAGGATTAAGGATTTGTACGCTAACTTTGCTGAGATCTTGGAGGGATTACACTCGGATCCATCAACAAACACTGCTATTGCAGGTCTTTGCATTTTGAGGGAGTGACTCAAAACGTCACAATGAGCGTGATGTTGTTGACAACCCGCCACACACATTCTGACCTTTTGTCGTTGTGTTCGAGCTGAGGATGGCGATCATCGGCATGTTCTTCCAAGATGGCCTCACTGGCATCTCGTCCGGAGTATTGGACGCTACTAGGGGCTCCTCGCATTGCTACTAGGAACAAGAAGCTACTAGGGGCTCCTGGCCGTACTACTAGGAGCAATGTTCGCCACTCGGAGCATTTGACCTGATGGAGGAGCCTTGGTGAAACAACTCACAAAGCGGACCAATATGATTGGATCATCTCTTGCTCAGCTGGTCAGTTTCTACAGTTTCTTTCACATGGCTGGATCACATCGCAGAGCTTTCATAGCAAAGGGGTCATGTAAGCTGTCAAACCTGTACCCGGAGGCCAAAACACATCCCCCAAATCAAGGGCCAGAAGCGAGTTCAGAAAAACAACACTACTAGGAGCAAGAACGCTACTAGGGGCTCCTGGCATCGCTACTAGGAGCAAGGAAGCTACTAGGGGCTCCTGGCCTTACTACTACGTAGTAACAAGAAGCTACTAGTAGCTCCTTCTAATAACCCACCCACCTCCTGGGGATTGTTTTTGCCCCCAGAAGTCACGCCATGGAGAGCCTTAGGATCGACACAAGAACCCGTGGATCAAACTTGATGTGATGCTCCACAGGAAGATTCAAGCCAATATGCTTGATCTGTTTGCTATGATATGCTTATTGTAGGTGGTGTTTGGTATGCTAACACCCATCCAGGCCTATTTATCCCTTCCAGAGAAGCCTGACTGTTGGGTGCAAAAACATCCAGCTGTTCGACCACCTCTAAATAGCTTAATTGTGAAATTCATGAAGGCTCCCAAGGTAACACCTGAAACACTCCAAATGATCTATGTTCAAACATCGTCAGCCATTCCTCTCTGAGATTTGGCAGGAGTCATCAGCATGAATCAGCTGAAAACGGTGAAGTTATATAACCATATCTCACATCCCTCGCAGCTGGCAGATGCAAACCGAAAGACCGGTTCAACTGCAGGTGAAGTTGCTTGTTTGCCACCCTGTTTGCCCATGCACCGTAAGATCCACAGCGAGCGCAGATGCGAGGCTCCGCCTGGGGTGACTGGGCCAACTACACCGACTCTCCTTTGCGAGCCTTCGAGAACGAGACTGGAGTGCCTCGCTGGCCTTCCTTTCAATGGCAAGCTTGGGGCTTTTGTGGAGCAACAGGGTCGACAGACCGATTTCTGACCGATGTATTTAGTCTAGATGCTTCAAGAGACAGTGTTCCTATCCATTGATGGTACCTTTTGGGAGAGTTTCCACGCATGTGCTTGTTAAAAAGATACAGCGATGTTTTAGAATCTCCCGATTTTTCAGGTGCAGCCTCCTGTGGGCTTTTGGGACCCCCTGGGCCTGTCCACCAGCGGCAACCAATCTGCAGCTTGGATCCGTGCGCCACAGTGGACTGAGGAGGTAGTGGTGAGCAGTCATGAGCAGTCTACTTTTTGTTCAGGTCTTTTGGTGGTGTTTCATGGCTTACATTGGGGTTGCACGACAACTCCACGAAAGGATGATGATGATGATGATGATGATGATGATGATGATGATGATGATGATGATGATGATGATGATGATGATGATGATGTCATAATCACATTTTGCTACGATGCTTTGTACTTTGTACTCACTCTACTTGCAGCCGCAGTCTACCAGCGTATTTGCATAGTAAACGTATTCCTCAGGACGGTGCCATCTTGAGACTAAGAGTTGTTTGCGAATCGCTGCGGCGTTATGTGCCATGCTTTGGTGCTTCCAAGGGAAAGCTTGGAGATCTGTAGGATGAAATTATGAGCATAAGTTCATATAAGTTTCATGTGCCTGGATTATGTTCAGTTGGCCAGTAGAGAGGAACATGAGTGAAGTGGAAAACCGTCCTTTGGAAGGCCACTTTTGTTTGGACACTTTGGTAGTTGCAAGGACTTTCCACTTGTTAAATCTTTGTTTGAGGATTTGCAGCTGTGAGGGTCGGGAAATAAACATGTAACGACAATTAGAGTGCATAGTTGGTACATATGTTTGTTTGGGGAGGTCACACAGTATGTATATAGTTATATACTATTCAATAGTCAAGAGCATATTTAAGACAGGTAACAATGCCTTCTAGTAGACCCTCTCGGCTTTGACCACCACAGAGTAAGGGCCCGCTCAATGGAGAGATGTTGCTAGGCACGGGCATACTTGCCGTCCTTCTTCTACCATTGGGACAAGAGGGTATGATCAAGGATGTCCCAAGACCCAAATTGCAGATTGATACACCCTGACACAGTTGATACATGTTGATACCATTGATAGATGTTCATAGGTTCATCAACACCTGCTTCGACTGGGCAGTGACCAGGCGCTCGTATTATCCTTTCCGTTTCCGACTGAGGACTACAAGAGGCGCCGAGAGGTTGAGCTCAAGCATGGACGAGTCTGGGATGCCCAGTTGGGATACCGTAGCCCTGACCAGCGATCACGTACGCCGCAGTCACGTGACTCACATCGTTCAGTGGAAACCCCGCTTCGGCCGTACCCCGCTTCGGCCGTGGAGTTGTGGCAGGATGTGGCAGGTCCAATGCAGATCTTCGCGACCAACGCGGGCAGCCAGTACTTTGGCCCTTCGTATTCCGAAGGGGCAGCTCTGCTGGTTGAATCTGCTGGCTGAATCGGCGATGGCAGAAAGTTCACACGAAAGAATCTCCCCATCCGAACACAGGGCATGCGGCATGGAGGCAGCAGCGACAGCTACGGTTCTGTTGAATTCAGTCCTTGAGTTTGCTTCTGGTCAGGAAAATCAGAATCAGTCAAAAGCAAATTGTGTGTTGTCTCCTGAAGGAACTCCTCATCACAGCCATTTCTACCCTAGTTGCAGCCGAGATCGCTAATTGCTTGGCAATACTCTTTGCCAAAGAGACACACATGTCCATTCTTGCTCCTCACATGGCATGGATTCGCCTGACCTTGTGCTCTATGGGAGCTTCTTGGGCCTCGCCCGGTGGGCTTCCAGCCCGTGAGTAGCTCTTCCTCATTCTTCTTCCTATGCTCCACCTTCTCCTTGGCTGACCTTCACTGCGCTTCACCTATAGTTGTTTTTGGACTTCGGCCTGGGGCATGGCTATTTTTCGCTTTGGCTGGATTTACTTTGATTCACCTACAGGATGTTTTGTGGTCTCCAGCTTGCGCTCACACAACCTTTCTATTTCTGAGCTGGTTGGGGACTCTGGGGCTTTAAAGGCAAATTGTTTGAAGCCTTGAGCTTCGCGTGCAATTGCTCACAAAATTCGAGCATACTGATGCCGCTACTTGATTTGCAAATGTCGTGCCCTTAGCCCTTAGCCGCCTTAGCCTCTTCTTCTGTCAACCGGGTGGAGATCAGAGCCCCTGCCTTTTGGTGCTTTAGGTCTATTCTGCATTTTTGGGTGCTCACTTCTTGCACCAGTGTTTTTACCAAGCACGCTGTGCTTCTTTGCCTTGCTTTATGATTGGACGTCAAGATAATCTTCTGTCCACCTTTTTGAAGGAGACCTTATTGACACACTGGATTGGTGCTGCTGGCTTTCGCTGCATGCGGCCATGGGAATGCTTCCTCTTCGTCTTTGGTGTACAGCTGAGTGCTGTGCATCGTTTGATGTTTTGGGGACTTGTTTCTTCGTGGGCAAATCGATCAAGGTCATATATTACATAATATTACAATATAAATAATAGATTGTAGTAAAACCCCCGATGCATCGACTGAACATATGGGCTCATAAGTCATAAATTTGTGGTTATGGAATGTTATGAAGGAAGTTGTTCTCACTCAAAGATCTCAAAGGTTTGCTTGAAGACCTTTGTGCGAGAAAGACGCAGGAAGACTAGGGCATATTACTTGATTTGGAATTCACAGAAGTCCCTGGCAAACAGTGCCAGGTGTCCATGCTACAACTGTTTCCTCCATAACATGTGCCCATTCTCATGGAACAAAACCACCAAACGCTGGTGTTGTTTTCTGGGCGTTTCATCATCACCTTCTTGGCCTAATTGGTCCACGTGCGTGAACACGTCTTACTGGCAAGCCGATGTTCAGCTACATGACCCGAGGTCGCAATGTTTGCCACCATTGGCTACATCCTGCCAGAGTACTGGAGGTGACACTTGTTGCGGGAGGAAGTCCGTCCGAAGTCAGGAAGGACTTCCTGGTCATGGGTCGGAGTATAAAGGATAGTGTGAAGTGGGCTGAAGTGGGCTATTTCTTGCTGAGTCTTCGCAAATCATTGACATTTCCACCAGCATGACCAGTGTGCGCAAGGCATAAATGGTCAAGAAGGCATGAGAGTGTGAGGTGCACCTACATCACAAGAGAGTGATATGTACATTTTGTACTTGGTAGCAGATGGTACCTTCACACTTCCCCAGGTAGGTTGAAACATGTTCCACACACACAGAACTCCCGCGCCTCGGAGGTTTGCGGGAGGTCTCACGGGTTCTTCACAGACATGACGAGTCAACTCGAACTGGTGTCAGGCAGCTGGATCTGGGAACTCGTCATTTAGGTGAACCATGGAATTGTTGGAGGAACCATAGAAGATTTGTTCACTATGTATAATATATATATATATAATGATTGGGTTTGCCCTATTGCCTGTAACAGTCTGTATACAATTATCACTATTTTTGAACAAGGGCTTTTGCAACCATCATCATCCACTGTTACTGGCAATAGGATAGACCCAATACATACATACATACATACATACATACATACATACATACATACATA